TTACACCTAAATCACATACCATTTGTAAATTGCTAGTATAATTCTAGCTGGATATTTGACCACCCTGTAAAAGCACATTTGGTTGGTTTCCTGGAAAGGATTCAGCTTTTTATTCAGTTCACAAATTTTTTATTAAACGTACTGGGGTAATGTTAACTGATTGATTAACAGTGGCTTCTTTAAACAGGTTTGATTACTGCAGGGTTGCTGCAGGTCATTAAAAATCATTATAAGTCATTAAATTGTTATTCTTTAAATTAAGGCCTTAATTGGCATTAATATTCATTAAATTTGATTATCATGGCATTTAAAATGCTTTATAAAACAAAAAACATTTATAAAAACAATTTCGTCAGATACATTATATCACAATATATTTGCGCGTAACTGCTTCCGGTTGATCGTAATGCCGTATGTTCGAGGCGGAGAAAAAGCTAGAGAAAGGGAAAATGCTAATTCAAAGAAAAGTGGCTGGAAAACGAGAAATTCGGAACATGGCTGCAGCCTGTCGACGGTAAAGATGACGAAGGATTTTGCCGTGTATATATGAGAGTCATGGGTACTTGTTGATGCCATTAAAATTATTTGTAAGAGCATTAGTAAAACATTAAATAAGAGCTGCTCATTCCTGTATAAACCCTGTTCTTGACATTACATTATCAGCATATTGTGGTTTCGCTTTGTGATTTGGATCCTATTAAAACACAGATTTAATCAAAATTTCAAGCATATCAGCTAAAGTATTATCCTTTAAATTAAAAGGGGCTTGAGTATTAAGTTTGTAACAACCTGCGAACCTTTGAAGCTCCAGCTTAGATACTGAAATAAAAGGTCATGGACTGAGCTTCTTTTCTAAATTGATCGTATTATTCTTTAGATGGATAGGAATAATGATTTGAAAATGATTTTTATACAGCATGGTGTTAAAAAGAGTTGCCTGTGTCAGTAGAGTAAGTGGTGATGGACAGGTGACTTGTTCAGGGTGGGCCCTGCCTCTCAACTACAATTACTGGACAGAAGACATGTAATTAAATGGATGTACACAGTGAAGTCAGTATTTATAGATCTGCAAAGTTATTTCGGCACCAAATCTTTTGAAGTTGTAGGATAAAAAGAAGCCAAACCCAGAGAAAGAGTCCCGTTTTATAAATGTAGAAAATATTCAGATTAATTAACATTTATGCCCAGGATGAGTTGATGCTAACGTCTGATTGGAAAAGTGTGTTGATAAGGAGAAGGAATGTAAGACTTTTATTTAGCTGATCTTTATTGCATATGAGGAGAAACTGCAACAAACTGATCCTTTACCTCCACTTTTGTCTTCAGATCAGGTTTTTGGCTGCAGCCTGTCCAGTCTGTGTCAGCAGGAGAACAGCACGGTGCCGACCTTTGTCAAGATGTGCATCGATCACGTGGAGAATAACGGTCAGTGTTAAGGAATGGACCTAGTTTCTGTGTGTTGTTAAAGAGGACTGGGTTTGTTTTCTCATGTCTTACAGACTCTGATCTGTTTTTGTCGTTGACCTCTCTCCAGGTCTGTATATAGACGGGCTGTATAGAGTGAGCGGGAACCTGGCGGTCATACAAAAGCTACGCTTTGCTGTCAATCACGGTGGGTTACCCTGAAACTGTCTGTGTTTCCTGTAAGATGCTTATAGAGGCCCTGCAGAGCAGCGGCTTTAAAGGACGCTTGTTTTTGCAGATGAGAAGGTGAACCTTGGCGACGGGAAGTGGGAGGACATCCATGTGATCACTGGGGCTTTGAAGATGTTCTTCAGGGAGCTGCCCGAGCCCCTCTTCACCTACGCTCTGTTCAGCGACTTCGTCAGCGGCATCAGTACGTGTGACACACGGCTAACCTCTGCGCTTGTACATGCACTCACTGTCCCCTGCAGCTAAATATGACAGGCCGGCGGACCGTAACTGGTTCACAGTCTTTCCTTGGAGACAAATGTTGTCTTTAATGATGACAGGATCTTCATCACAAACACTGAATTTAGAAGTAGAGTCAAAATTAAGAGTTTTTGTCCATTTTCATAACATCTTCTGGATGATTTTATATATCAAAAGTGAAGAATTGTGGCACAGAGGTCCAGCATGCAGCGAAACTCTCAGCTCATCTTTACACGGTGACTAAATTGTTGGGAGAAGCTGTTCTTCGAGGACATTGTGGTTGGGATTTATTGGGATTAAACTTGATAGAAGCAATTCCAAGATCAGGACGTTTCCCTGTTGGCAAGACACATCATCTCAGAACAATGCTTTCTGTTTGCACCAGTCTTCTGCTGCCTGTTTTGCAGAAAAATTGTTTGTTCTCAATGTTTTCTGGGATATAAAATAGAGCAATGATGCTCTTCATGTGTGGAAGTTCTGGTCCCGCTTTGCAAAGACCTTCTGCCAATAATGAGCCAGCTCTGTACTGGTGGCAATTTTCCTCTACATTATACAGCAGGACCGGAGATTTGCTCCGACATGTAGGTCTCTGATAAATTCAATTAAATTCAGTTTATTTATATAGCATCAATTCACCATACATGTCATCTCAAGGCACTGTTCAATTCAACCAGATCATCCAGTCTTTTTATGTTCTTTTCCCTTCAACTAACCTCCCAGGTTTTCTCCAGGTCTTTAGTCAGCGGGCAGACATTTTGATGGAAAAAGGTCTATTGTCTACTGAACCATTTCTGTTTTGATAGGGCCATATGTTTGGGTTCATTGTCCTGCTAAAAGACCCAGTGATGACCTACTTTCATTTTCCAGGGAGACACCAGCAGATTTCCACTGAACCCTCTAGGGTCCCAGCTTATACCCCTTAGACAACGAGATTCTCTTTTTAAAAGATGGCCATAGAATATTATGCGTCCCCATGTTTCTGCATGGTTGGGCGGTAAAGCAAGCGTGCCATATGCTGAGGCTTCAGCCCTCAGGGAAGCTGTCCCAGGGTCCATTCTCTGCCGTTTCTAAGGTTTACCCTCCTTTTATAGCACTGAGGGTTGTCCTGGATGACTGAGACATAATCCAAGATATGGACGGTCTTATAGAGTGGTTAGTATCTTTCTTACTTCTTAAGTACATATGTCCGAAAACAAATTGCTTGTCTTGTTTTTTACGCATTTAGTATCCCTTGTTGCCTTATTGGGGTATCATAAGGAAAATGGAAGTAATGGATTACCAAATTAAGTTCCTTTTGACGCATCATGATCTAATAAAAAAATGTCGTATCTAGTAAAGAAAAAAGGATTATCTATAAAGTATTAGTTGTTGGGTAAAAAAATACATGACTAATTTCTTAACATAGTATCCCCCCATAGGGTATAAATGTGCTTAAATTCAGGGTTTGGTTTAGATATAAAAAAAAAAGTAAGAGCTAATGCTGCAATAAAAGTATAATTAATTTTTGGGCTTTTATGCAGCTATATTAGAGCTGCCATAATTATATAGGGATCTTGTATGAAAGTTTATCATATATAGGAAAGAAAATTATTAGCCAACAACTTTGTATATCGTTTTAAGGCAGATATGTCATGTAGTTTTCAAATAATGCTGTAAACAACTTAAATGTACATAGATTTGCTCATAATATTTGGGAATGGTATCTTTCTTTTTTTTTTTGGTCTAGAGTTTTTTCTTTTATAGGTGAATGAATTTCACTGTTTTCCTCCTAACTTAAATCTGCAGCTTAGGAAATGTCCTTGTTTCAATTAAAGAAACTGAAAAAATTATTTCCTTCCCTCTTGCACCTCTTTATGCCAAAGCTATATATATAACACATTCTGATATACTCTTTAAATCAGTTTCAGCAGGAATCTTATTACATTTTTACAGTCTTTGTCTTTCATCTCTCAAAACATGCCTTCCAAAATAGTAACGCCAATAAAAGCTGACAAAAGGGTCAGCTTTGCAGGTGCCTCAAAATGTCAACATTTTATGCTCACACTGAAAGAATTTTGCCTAGTAACAGGTGTCATAATGCATTTTTTTTTTAAACTGTTAGCAATGGTCCCATTTCTAAGTTTTTAACCTTAATTGTTCCAATATAAGGCCTGGTCTTCAAAAGGTTTGCACGTCTTGAAACAGGTGCAAACATGTTTTGTGTGAAAGCGGATCTATGAAGAAAGTGCAAAGTGATTTGCCTTTGCAGTTCAGCAGATGGTGTGTAAAACCTTTTTTGGTGTCTGTTTTTATCAATATGTATTCAATTCAGTTTATTTCTATAGNAGTTTGTGGCTTTAATGTGTCCGAGTTCCTTTTTAGCAGATATATCTTGGTTTGTACCAGTTGAGTAAATTGTTCTCCAGCCTGTGTTTTTAACATCCTACCATGTCTTTTATGTTTAAAGGGTTTTTAATCTTCAGTAATTGTTTCTCTGAGACTTTCTTTGCTGATGTTTTGAGAGTCCAGTTTTCACTGACATGTTGGTGCAACATGAGAAAGAAAAGTCTGTCCGAAACATCGTCTGTGCTGCAGCCAAAATTAACTCTGAGGTGGATCCAGCCTTTGATTTATGCTGCCTTTCTCTTCTTCTGCAGAAATATCAGACTACAAGCAGCGGGTGCAGGCCATCAAAGAGCTGGTGAGACAGCTGCCCAAGCCCAACCACGACACCATGCAGGCGCTCTTCAAACACCTCAGGAAGTAAGAAAAGTCACACCTTCTACAGCTTGTTTTTGTCTGGAAAAAGAATCTGTTGTCAAGAATATTAAAATGCATCATGTCTTAAATTTCATTTAATGCTGTCAGGAAGGTTTTTGTCTCATTTTGGAATAAAATTCAGGGTTGGAATAATTTTCCACTGCTTTCTAGATTAAAATAGAGCCTAATTCCTTATCACTCTCTGAAAATCTCTTTACTTCTGAAAGTCTCTTTTTTACTTTCTTTGAACACTTTCTTCCATCTTTTTTTGTTTGTCTTGATTCATTTCCACTTTCTTTACTTCTTTGTGTCTTTCTTTTCCCTCCTGCTGCCCCTTTTCTTCATTCTGCTCCTTATATCTACCTTTATCTTAAGGAATATCTGCATGCTAGATGTGTGGAATCCCAGAAATGCTGAGTTAACCATTCTTGTTGTGTCTTTCTTTAACTGTTCCTTTGTCCTAAAATCATTGGAGTTTGTTACATTTGATTTTATGTTGGCATTAACATTCAATACTTGTTGTTTCTTGGTATTTTAAAGTCCACTTAGTCTGTTGGAGAGGGGGCAAATGATTATCTAATAAAGTGTGATTAAGTGTCAACTCAAATTATCAACAATATAAGGGATTATGTAAAAATTGGACTTTATGCCTGTGTATTTTATTCCTAAAAACATATGACTTTGTCTTGGCAGCTCAAAGCTCCCTGTCCATGTTTTCTAAAGGGATAAACGTGTATAATTTTTCTCTGTATATCCAGGTATTCTTTATAATTATTCTTTGTTTCCATGGCAATGTGTATTTAAGGTACCAGCCAGCACCCCTCCTCTTCAATGTATATGTTGGTTTATTCCTTGCTCCTGAATATACAACGTTTTGCTGCTTGCTGCAGAATAGTTTATTTAGATTGTCTGTCTGAAGAAAGATGATTTAAAGAAGTTTCCTAATTGGGAATTTCTAAAAGAGGCCAAATTATAGAGCTAAACGAGGCCCTATAAGGTCACCCTGAGAGACAGGGTCACACCAGGCTCATGGGATTTGGGCGCCACAAGGAGCTAAATCAAAAAAATCAATGTGTACCCTAACCTCAGCCACTAGCAGTGAGCGTGCAGTTACCGAGGCTGTGTGGGTCAACAAAGTCTTTCCACAAAAAGAAGGTTTGGCCAGACGCAGCAGCCGCTTCCACATCAATCTCCTGAATATTTCACTTCAAACAGGAAAATCCGGGATCAAGACAGGAAAAAGTCTGGTGAATTTCAGAATAAAATCAACCCACCAACCTTGGTTAATGTTACTAGAGAAAACAAGAACTCCAAACAGAAACAGAGCGGCTGTCAGATGATGAATAGGATATTTATGTGTGCTAAAAAGGAGTTTTCTTCGACTACTAATGGAAAGAAGGTGAACCTGTGAGAGTCTTTTTCTCCTGAGCTTCATTTCTGCAGCTGGAGCCTTAGCAGGGACAGCCTGGTTGCAGCATAAGGGACTTTTTGCTGCATGCCTGTACCTCAGCTGCTCCATATTTAGCACCAGCCTGGAGTGAATGTTGCTCTGAACCCCAAGAAAAACATCCCAAATCATAATTTTCTCTGTACTATACAGAGGGGGTGAGGTTCTCTGGGTCTATACTCTATCTTTGCGTCTTCCAAACCTTCTCTGAATCAGTTAGATGTTTCTAATGTACCCATGTACCAGAGCATGTGAGCACGGCGCATCCTGCTCAGGAGGATGTTCGCTCATTCGCTCCACCACTCAAAGTTGCACCAGGAAGCTCCGCTCAAAATCCGCTCCGCTATCTCCTTAATTTCCCTGCCGCTCCGGCTGTTTCCCAGCTGTGAACGTAACACCTCGCTCCATTCATGGTGCCCCACGTTTCCTATTTAATTATGAATTTATTTTACTAGACTACATTAAAAAAGGTGACTTCGCATCACATTGCTAATGAGATAACAGCGTATAATACATGTATGCGATCCATTTTCAATAACAGGCTCTTACCACAACAATCACTTTATGGAAACCCACTCTGTATTGTTAGTGTATGTCTTTATGATATTTTATCCCACTTATAATATGCAAACCTCATCTCAGCGATTCCATGGTAAAGTTGAAACATAAACGTACAAATTTTATAACCCAACATTTTTAATTGACGTTGTGAACGCATCGGAGCAAAATCCTTGCTCCGTCCTTTGAATTGAAAACCGCTCTGAGCTCCACCATATTTCTTCCGCTCCGCTCCACCATTCGCTCCATGCTCCCCTAACATGCTCTGCTGTGTGCTAATCTCATTGACCACATTTGGTTAATTTATTTAAACTACATCCACAACTATAGATGAGAGTTGTTCACCAAAGTTCTTGCTGGCGCCGTTTTGGGCCAAACCAAACATTTTGCATATC